TGTTTTTGGCAAATTGTATTTACGTCAGCAGCACTGTCCAGTTGGAATTTCACGATATGGTCATTGATAGAGAGATTTGCTGTGACTCCAGTTTCCTCATCATTAATGGCGAAAAGCCATTTGTCATCAAAGTCATTATTAGGGTCATTATGATCCTCCGATTGAGACACAACAGCATGTACTTTCTTCGAACATTTGGATTTGAAATGGTTCAGGCCTTTGCAATTATCGCATGTCTTACCCCAAGCTGGGCATTTTTCTCGTTTTCGTTCATGTTTGTATCCACAATATTTACAATCAAACTGTAAATTGTCATTACCTGCCTTCGACATGCTGCTCTTGTTGGATCTGGTTCTCCTGTCTTGCAGCTTTGGGTTGGATTACTTGGAGACTTTGTTCAGATTAGATGGAGTTGAATGTGAGGCGCTTCCGATGTTGTTTTTAAGCTCTTTTACTTGTTTATTTGATTGCTCGAAAGCTCTGCATATTTTCAGGGTTTTGTCGAGTGTGAGATTGTCTTCTCTCAATAGAAGCTCTTGTAGTTTTCCAGTCACTGTGAAGACGATTTTGTCTCTCAGCATCCTATCCTTTTCAAGAAAGTTGCATGCAGTGATTCTTGTTTGTAACTCAGTGAAGAATTTGTCGAAGGGCTCTTGATACTCGATGTTCCAGAACCGATGTGATTCCGTCACCTCGTTGTCCCGTGTGTTGCAGTATTTTTCGAGTGCTTCGAAGACTTTTTCGGGGTCATCTTTATCTCCTTCCTCGTTCCACGTGAAATTATCGTATACTTCGAGGACATCATTTCCGGCACAATTCAAGATGATTGCTGTTTGAATTTGTTTTTCCTTCGCCGTCGCTCCAGAAGCGACTAAATACACTTCGACTTGTCGTCGCCATCGTTTGAAGTTTTCTGAGATATTTTCCAGAATTTATGTCGAGTTGGGGCGGTAGACGAAAATTTCCTGTCGCCATGATTGAATTTTTGCAATCCCGTAGCTGCCACCATGTTGATTTGTAGAGTTGACTAAAGAGAAAGAGTAGGAAGCGGCGAGCAAAGAGCACTAGGATTCTAGAACACAACTGCCATGTTTATTTCACCTCGTGGTCTCTCGTTACATATGATAATTTATGCTAATTCTGACAACCAGATGAGATAGCCAACATTAAACACTCTAAGGTCATGCTAATAATAGTAGCAAAAATAAGTTTTATCCTGTGTTACTCAGGAGAGATTTGTTTGGTTGTCTTGGACAATTAAGTGTGGTTTTCCGCTGGCTGAGGGACGAAAGAAGCGGAAAATGTTTTTCTCACACGCAGGTGGGAGAATGGGTTCGAGTGTGTGGGGGGTCTCCAGGTCACATGGCGTTTCAAGGTTCTGTTCAATTGTTTGGTTGCCTTCTGCCATTGCCTGACCTTCCCCACACACCCACCCTCCATATGTTTTTAGGGATATAGGATTTCAAGTAGTGCCTTAGTTCCAGTTAATCGTGCATGTCAGTCTTCTGTATCTAGGCTCAGTTTTAGCTGTTTTGTTCGTGTTGTAACCCTAATGATTCATCGTGTTGATATAATAAAGGTCGGGTTGCATCGTCGGCTTGGCGTGGCTCCCAGTTGTGTGTGAGAAATTTTCTTGTTTCTGGGCGAACTTCCAGACATATTCAATAAGTCACATTTAAATCACATCCCATAGCATGAGCTGGATTCATAGCCTCGGTCATCAAGATATTTTTTACCATTCATTTATTCTTCAACAGGGCATGCACTTCCTGCAGAATAGTCCAGTTCAGGTACATGGCAACTTAAAGTCGTCAAATGTGCTGATTGACAGCCGCTGGACATGCAAACTAACCGACCATGGGTTGTTTCTCTTCAAAGAAGGACAGGAGATTGACTTGGAAGCTGGTGCAGATACCAAGTATTATGGTAAATGAATTTTGATGGGAAAAGAAGTTTAGTTCAGTGTTAATTTTCTGATTCTTTTCTACTCAGAAAATCTTTGGACTGCACCAGAACACATCTTCAACACCGAGTATCCTCGTTCTCAACCTGGAGATGCGTACAGCTATGGAATCATCCTTTCTGAAATTGCCACTCGGGGTTTACCTTTCAGCATGTATGAGGACTTGTCAGCTCAGGGTATGCATTCTGTGCCAATTTGTTTATTAAAAGAAAGCTCTGAACTTACCTTACAAACTTTGCAGAAATATAATTTGGTGTTGATATTCTCGAGGGTTTCCTCGGGTAAACTTATCACACATATTATTAATCTGGAACAGCAGGCAGAATTCCAACGCCAGCCGCCTTTGATTTGTAGTTAGCATTGCGTGACAGAATAACAGAGAACGCGTTCTGTACAGGAAAAATTACTCTTTGGTTCTGTCAATAAATAATCAATTTCTACTGTATTTCGTATAGATTCTGACGGTCGTTAAGCTTTCTCTGCTGGAAAATTCTCGTTAAAAAGTAAGCAATTCTTTTGGCTAATGCAGGGTCTTCGTTTTCGTAGTACGAAAACGAAGACCCTTTCTTAAAAGCCCGAATAAAGCCCTTAACCCCTTAACCTCAGGAAGGCCCTAAAATATTCCGATCACTCCTTCGATAGGGATGTCTGTTCCAAATTTGGACTCATTGCATAGAAAAACAAATCGAAGAGCCGAAAGCAGTGGTGGCGGAAGAAAGAACAAGAAAAACCACGCGCGAACTGTCTTAGCATATCAAAAGCTGAAATAACAATTACTAGTGCTCAGGGTACGTCTACAATCGTCCTTTCAAAGGATTTTCTGCTTTCAAAAAAGGGTCTTCGTTTTCGTACTACGAAAACCATGACCGTGCATTAGCCAAAAGAATTGCTTACTTTTTAACGAGAATTTTCCAGTAGAGAAAGCTGAACGACCGTCAGAATCTATTTTGGCTACGAAATACAGTAGAAATTGATTATTTATTGACAGAACCCAAGAGTCATTTTTCCTGTACAGAACGCCTTCTCTGTTTTTCTGTCGCGCAATGCTAACTATACATCAGACGCGGCTAGCGTTCGAATTCTGCCTGCTGTTCCAGAATAGTAATAGGTGTTGTAAGTTTACCCGAGGAAAACCTCGAGAATATCAACACCAAATTGGCTCGCATAGCGAAACAGAACAGACAAGACGGGCCGTATAATAATACGGATAATAATGGGAAGAAACGCGTGAAGTGTAATGTATTATATGCGGTGGCCCACAAGTGCGCAACAAATTCTAAAACTCTACGCCGAATTCCAAATGCCCACACCAAATTCAAATTGCTCACACCGAATTCTAAATCTCCACGCTGAATTCTAAAATCTCCACACCGAATTCTAAATCTCCACACCGAATTTTAAATCTCCACACCGAATTCTAAATCTGCACACTGAATTCTAAATCCCTCGCGCCGCAAAGTATGCCACACACTTCTATAACCTGACAAACTTCCAGGTCCATTCAGCTCTTCGTGTATTCTTGCTCTTACATCTTGATCGTCTGAATCTAAAAGATTTCCTCCAAGGCCAAGTGACTTGAAACTTTCCTTTAGCGTTTTCCAGTTCAGGTGGATTCCATAGTACTTTTGCAAAAACACAATATAACTTCATACTCGTACCCCTCATTAAAGTAATACTTTATCGTTAGCTTTTCGAGATCAAGCTCGATACTGCAGTTGGAACAAAATCGGTTAATAGATATCGTTGCGCCACAGTCATCACATTTTAACGCTACTGTTCTAGTCGCCATTTTCTTTCCATGCATAATTCAATTCGATGAAACAATACTCGTATATATATCCGTATTATTATATCACTAACCTGTGTTGCTGTTTAATGTGTGTTTAAGTTCTAATTTCTACGGTTTTCTGTTTACAGGGTCTTCGTTTTCGTAGTACGAAAACGAAGACCGGGTCTTAGGTCTTAGGTCTTCGTTTTCGAGGGTCTTCGTTTTCGTAACACCTATAATATCAAAAATGATGACTTATTTAGCCATAATTGGGAATTTGTTCAATATCAATTGAAAGGCATCAAACAAAAGCTGTGGTGGTTTTGATCCATAAGAGAATTACACCAGTACCAATCAAAATGTTGGTTTAGCCTTGCATATATTGCTGATAGTCTAAAGCTTTTAAAAGCAGTAAGGCCACTACTCAAAGCTAAAAATAGCACATAAAACTACCAGCTCGACAAGCTAAGCTACTGTCTACCAAATGTTTTAAAGTTTGATTTTTCTGCTTTAAATTCAATTTAGTCACAACTTTATTGAACATTTTCTAGCTGTTGTTGAGCGTGTTAAAAAAGGAGAGACCCCAGCCTTCCGCCCACGTATCACCAAGGACACTGTAGGACATACACTCTATGTTGACATGATGAAAATGTGCTGGGATCAAGACCCACTTGCCAGACCAAAGTTTTCAGATTGCATTAAATATCTTAAGCAGATGAACAAAGGAAAGTAAGTGAATAAATGGCCGAGTCTGCAAAGTTTCTGTTTTAATTAGAAGTTCATTACACGTGATTGGATTTCAAAACACTTAGTTTCTGCTTTCCACATTCAATAGATAAGAAATTTTAAGATATTTTCAGTGACATCAAAATTTGGTTTAAAGGCATTTATGATGATGGCTTACGATTGACACGCTATTCGTGAATTTATGATGATGTCATGCTTGTTTCCTTCAGGGACTTCAACATTATGGATACAATGATCACCATGATGGAAAAGTACACAGATCACTTGGAAGACATTGTCGCTGAGCGAACAGCTGAGCTTGCAGCTGAGAAAGCGAAGACTGACGAGCTTTTGTACAGAATGCTTCCAAAGTAAATTATACTCGATACTGCTTAGGTTTAAGGAACCCTCAAACGTTTTCTTTGCAATGCAAATTAGAATAAGAAATAAGCATCCTTAATCCGCAACAGTGATCTTGAGTTGGTGTCAGCCTTTGGGCGTGTGCCAATACAGCTATGGTTTCCAAGGGGTGATGAAAGCTTTTTCGGTAAGATTTCAGAGTGTGCAGAAATTTAAGCTTTTATCAGGCAAAAGTACCATATAACCCCAAACATTAATTATGCATTCAGACTAGTAGACTTTATTTTTAAAGTTTTGTCGTGAAAGACAACGAAGTGGAATGCATAATTAATGCATGGGGTTATATGGTACTCCTTCCCTTTTATCCTTTCCATAATTTAACTGTTATATTCCTGACTATCCCTGTGGTAAAATTACAACCCCTCTGAAGAACACACTTCTTCAATCTAAATACGCCGCCATTTTGTGTAATCCCAGACCAGTCTTACAACTTGTGCTCACGGTCTTTTAAAGTGTGTAATATAAAATATATTTCGTATTCACTTTTAATCTATATTTGTTTGTTTGGTTTTTTTTTGTGACAGGTCTGTGGCAGAAGAACTTAAGAGAGGACAGCCTGTTACTGCCGAAACGTTTGATTGGGCTACACTCTTTTTCAGTGATATCGTTGGTTTCACCAAGCTGGCATCTGAAAGTACTCCTCTACAGGTACATGTGTTGGAGAAATATACATGTCGTAAGTCGACCTCCTTTGATATCATGTTGTGAGAAAATGTTTTCTTTTGTGTATGTCTTTCTAGATTGTTGACTTGCTTAACGACCTTTACACTTGCTTTGACGAAATCATTGACATGCATGATGTCTACAAGGTAAGATTTGTTACATGACTGAATACTGCCGGACCTGTCTCCTCATAAACAAGGTTAAACTAAGGTCAATTTAATAGAATAACTTTGCAGAAGAACAAATTTATACATCTATTGCTTATAATTTAGGTTGAAACCATTGGTGATGCTTACGTGGTCTCTTCCGGGTTGCCAAACAGGAATGGAATCAGACACGCTGGCGAGATAAGTAACATGTCCTTAGATCTGCTGTCAGCAATGACTACTTTTAAGATAAGGCATGTTCCAGGAAAACAGCTACAACTCAGAATTGGGATTCATACAGGTTAGAAACCTTTTCTAAGCTAACTTAGCTTCATTTAAAGTCATGAGTTCATAAACTGATTGGAACAGAGGCTTAGCCGCGGGGATCTTTCATTATGGGGAGTCCTACATGCCAACGTCTTGCTGGACTTGCTGGCATTATGGGGCACGCCAGGTTGTTGAATTATTATTTTTCATAACATGGGAGTCATAACCCCAGAAGTTTCGCCCCTTTGGAACCCTGGACAAGTTTACGAAGGAAAATTAAGAAAGCTGTGGTATCATGAAATTGTGTGTGATTCTGACTTGTGCAATGCCTTCTTTCAGGTCCTGTGGTTGCCGGAGTTGTCGGTCTTAAAATGCCACGGTATTGCCTGTTTGGTGACACGGTCAACTACGCGTCAAGAATGGAGTCTTCCGGTTTGGGTAAGGAAGAGTCCCCTCGGCATGCATTACGCGATAGCGTGATTGCTGAAGAGTCCCGTTTTGCCCGCAGTTTTCAATCCCAAATTGGCTTCAGCATTATTCCCTACAATAAACAGGGCTCTATAAACGGCCTGTGATTAACAAGCGTGAACCTTTATCACATATGTGAACTACAACTCCAGCTTCAATTATCTATAGAGTAGAATTCAACTCTTCTGCATGTTGGTGCCACCCCACCCCCCACCCCTTTCTCAATTGTTGGCAACTCATTTTCAGACTGTCTTTCTGTGACATCTTCGCTTAATACAGCCTAACGGTTTTTCAGCTCTTCGAGTTCACGTGAGTCCTGAATGCAAAGAAGTTCTTGATAAACTTGGTGGATACGTGCTAGAAGAAAGAGGATTCGTGGAAATGAAGGTTAGTGAGTTCTTAGTTATTTTAAATGATCAAATATTTTGAAGCAAGTGCCTCGTAACTGCTAGAGCTTACAAGGGTTTCCTAGTGTGAAGCAACTAGAATCGAATTTGTTCAGCTGTTCTTGGAAATTAATGTTTGTAATTGCCTCAGCCGATGACCTGTTAACGTAGCGAGTAGTCTTTATCAGCATTCTGAAGTAGCAAATATATGTTGTACAGTCGATGCTCACTATAACCCACATTCCCAACTCAACTTGCGTCATCCACAAGGACGATACAATTGTAATCAAGCTATTTATTTAACTTTTAGGGCAAGGGGAGCATCCTTACTTATTTCCTAAAAACAAGAGACGGATTTGACAAACCTCTTCCAGATCTCACCATGGCGGCTGGCATGGAAGAGCACTCTTTTAAGTAGATGCATGTCATGCAAACTTTTTTTCCCCTCATCTCCCTTACAGTCATTTTATCGACAATATGAACATTTGTTTGGAAGACTTTGTTTTTTTTTTTAATCCTGCCAGGTTCGTCGCTGGCTCATCTGTCTCTTCACTGTAGTTTATCTCCGTCTCAGTTTCTTGATTTTAAACTGTTCTACTAAATAGGAAGACTCTTAACGTACTTACTGTGTACAGAATTTACTGTTGAAACCCCAATGTCATGAAATGTAATTTTTCTGTAAGACTATCGGGAAAAAGGTATAAACGAGGTCTTACAAGGATCATCAATCCCGTTTTTAATTTTCTATTCTTGGTTTCTCCCATTAATCAGATCAGTTTTTTTCAGAGATTTATTCACAGATTAAAGGAAATTTTATGGTCCCTGGATCGTACCCCGCAGAAATCTTTCCGGCAAACAAACTATGATTGAAATAGGACTAATGAAGCGCATTTCTAAACCATGGCAGCAGATCTTTAAGTCTGCTTTTCAGTTACAGTCGAAACTAACCTAATGGATTGATCACGAAAATGTGCCAAAGCTCGAGATGCAGTGCAGCGATTCATTAAAAAAAAATTGCCTTAACTGTTGGCTGTATGAGAATTCTCCAACTTGAAAGCTTTGTTTCTTTTTCGCTGATCAATTTGGAAGTTGTTGAATCAAATTTTTTTTCTTGTTTACTTCTCCTTGTTCTGTTTCTTCGTATGTTTGCTTTTCATCCGAGTCGTTTTTCTTCAGTTCTGTGCAATTTTCACGGTGTTTATCAAAGAGTCAGGAAGTAGCCCAGAACGATCTAGTCACAAATTCCATTTCGAGAATTGAACAAAAATAAAATATTTTAGCAGTGCCTACATTGGGCATATTTCGGGAATCTCCATGACTTGTTTCTGAACGTGAGTAACTTAAAAAGTTCAAACAACTTAGAGTTAAATCAAAGTATTTTAGATAATTAATGCATTCGTTTCCCTTGCATTTTGTGAATTTTTCTCCATTTTTGACAGAAGAATTTTTAATGAAATTGAGCTATTCAAAACGTTATTTTGAAGATTATAAAAAAAATTTAAAATTTAATAAACATTGAATTTTACAAGAGTGTTATCCTTTCATGATATGTAAATTTCGCCTTTTTTCTTTTTCCCTTTCAAATACTACGAGGGACCTTTCTTCCACTTTGCATCAGTTTCCTGGCAGACAGATAAACTATTATTTAGGGAAACTGATGGGACTGTTTACAATGCGATTGGTGGGCCGGGGAGCTAAGATCAGATTATTTGTCAAACTTTTTTATCCTTGTTAGTTCTGAAGGTAAGATTTTTATCCGATAGCAACCGTGATGAAAAATTTAGCTCGGCAATTGCTAATATATTTCAAATTTATTTACTTACGCTTAATTTTCAAACTGTTATTTTATTTTGAAATAACCATGACACAAAAATGAGTATGTAAGAGATGGAGTGGGATTGGGTATATTCCCTTTGTTGTGTGGCTTACACAAAGTGTGTAGCCACACTATGGCACGATCGGAGTTATTTGTCGACGAGAGTCAAACGCATGTCACGTGGTCTAGTGTCGTAAGGCGTARAGTATTAGTCTGAGTCAGCCATCTTGGTTGTAAGCGTGGTCTCGAGTAATTTTTTTGGCAAGAGTACCATATAACCCTATACATTGATTATGCATTCAGACTGGCAGACTTTGTTTTTAAAGTTTTGTCGTGAAAAACAAAGAAGTGGAATGCATAATCATGTATGGGGTTATAAGGTACTCTTTCCATTTTCTTTTTTTCAGGTGATCGTTTGACGAGTTAGTTCTCCTCACACAAGCCAAAGCACCCAGATCCGGCTTGTGTTATAACTGCAGCTTGTGCAACAACTTTTACGCTCTTAAAAGACAACATTTAACAGCTTGAATCTTCGGTACGAGTTGTACTACGCTGAAAGGAGTCATAGAGTGCAATTTGCACTCTCGCAATCCAACAACTATCGGTGCGGGTTGCACCACTGAGTCTCTGAAGGAGTTTTAAAATGTTTAAAATTGTCTTAACTGAAAGTGCCATAAAGTGAAATAAGTTGTATAATTGTAGTTACATTCTCCTTGCACTGTTGAGAATTCACAGAGGCATATTTCAAAACGACAAAAGTACTAGTAAGTAGGGGAATCTCGATTGTACAATACCGGTCAAGGATTGGCTTTTATGACAAATTATTTCGTAGAAACAAAGATATCTTATCACGTTTTAAGGATCATTCTTAGAATTTAATGCTCATGATGTTCTCTTTAAATGTATTTTACTTGCCAGTGTAGGATTCCACGTGCGAATTTTTGTGTTAGCTTATCATTTATGCATGCCTTTTAGAACTATTTAAACGCCACGGTTTGTTAGCGCGCAAATTTTTGAACGTATTCTCAAGCCCGAAGTTTTAGTGGCCGATCTTAGACTCTTAACTTAAGCTTCGGCGCCATCGCTACAGTCAGGAAAACATTTGTAAGTCTTTAAATTCTCTCTTTTATGATTATCATCGCTCGGTCCTTTTTCAAGTGTATTTTTATTTATTTTCCTAGTCGAACCTCACTCGCTCGATCACAAAACCTCAATCGGCTCCTCGAGTCTCTTCAACCGAGCGCGTGTTCGATATTTTCTAGAAGTAGCATCGACAAGAACTGTAGGCTACAGCCAGTATTGACAGGTTTTTAGATAACACAAAATGTAGAATGATGTGATGTTTTGGTTTTCACAGATGATTTTCTACAATGCTTGCATTCCATTGCTTATATAGGACTTGATCCTGGGGGTTTAATGCTACAACTGAAATGTGATTATTATTATTATGTTTTCCAAGTAATGTCCAGAATTATTCAGACCTTAACATTTCTTGACTTCCTGTAAGTTTGGCAGTCTTCTAAATTCTCTTCATAATGGTTCAGATGAGCATTGATATTTAAAACTTGGTAACGATACATATGTATTAGGCCTTTATTTGGTGGACTACAACGTCTTTCCATTCACTTGTTTGGTTTTGGTTAATTCATCACAATACTGATATACATGAAAAATTAATAATGAGTTCTTAATTTAATAATAAGTTCTTATATAGCGCATTAAAATTGAACTCTATGTGCTTTTACACTCTATTACACTCTTGATTGACAGAAAACAGCTAGGTGTCTTTTCCATGTATCACTAGTGCAAAAGTAATTACTCAAGTACAAATGTAAACCAACTGGTAGGCTCAGCAACAATAGATCACTCAAGAAACCAATTAGATTGACAGGAAGTAGGTTGTGCTGATTGATACACATAGTAGCTGACCGAAATAAACAGAAGCTTGAATTTTTTAGGTATATCGATAGAAACTGACAAAAGTGCATTCCTGAGTAAGATTTCAGCTGAATGACAAATTTTGATAGCATGTCAAGTTGACCATTTACCTGATGATGTCAAGTTCACCTTTTTATTTCATGTCTCCACATAGCTTGACTTTGGGAAACACACTGGTATGAAATAACAATATCAATAATAAGAAAACTTGAAAGATTCTGGTACTTTAAATCATATGATACTATCATGTGCTTGCCTGTACATTGAACTCTGTTGTGTTTAAGTTATGTCTCTGATTACTGTTCCTGAAATCTATTATGGTGACACTTATCTCTATTGAACTTTCTGTTAAGTAAAACCTCCAGGTCAAATTTTGAATCTTATTGGGTTAAAAAGTATTAGCAGTTTTAATGTAAAGTTACTTCAGACTACTACCCAACTTATGATTCATCAAAGTATTGCTTGTGTTCTGATCTTGTTATGCATCTATCTTTTTTCCCTAGATTCTTCCATTTGCAACCCCATATCTACCTACCTCAACTAAATTTTCCTGTGTTGTTTATTGAAAATACAGTCCCACAAAACCCAAATACAATAATTTGAGTAAACATTTTGCTCCCAACCAACTGAAAATAGAATTTTGTGCCCTAATGGATAATAGAAACCTACACTCAGCATTGTGTTACTCTACATGTATGCATTGCCAAATATTAGTCATACATTCAAACCAAATCAAGCTCCCGGTGGCTTCTAGAGTAGATTTCATCATTTCCAGAATGCTTTGACCCTTCTGACAAGTTCTGTCCTCGTGTACTGGTACACAAAATGCCAAAAATATTTGTATGAAATGGTACCCTAGACTTCATTTCACATCACTTGCCTTGGAAAAGACAATCAACCTACAAACTTCAGAACTCAACTCCACTTCATTACGTAAACAAAATCATGACTGAATCTATTAGGCCGCCATGGAAGGTGATGCTGATGCTTTTTTTAGTTCCTAAAATCTTCAAGTTACATGACTGTACAACCTTTGTTGTCAAAGTGAGGCCTTCATAACGAAGTTTGGCCATTAACCCTCATCTTGAAAATGAACATTCGAGGACTATTCTATTCCAGTTATCTTATTTTATGATGAACAGGAACAATATTGAAAACTATCTAACCGTAATCAGATATTAGCTCTTCTAATAGAAACTCACTAGAAAGCAGCGCAATTTCGTAAGCCACACAAGTACGACCTATTTTTTGTTTAGTTTCACTTTCGTTTAACTTTTACTTTCGTTTAACTTTCTCCGTTGGCCTAAGTAACTCAGCCGTAAAACCGCAAGCTTTTAAATGGCTGATGCACGTCGCTGTACTCGTGAGTGGGTGAAAAAAATCGTGTGGAGCACTCGTTCATGCGTTCAAATTATATCATTGGCCGCTACATTGACAGCTTGATTTATTTATTTGAAATCCAAGGCACCCATTGAATATATAATGGTAATTGAACTGTGTGGAGTGCAATTTGGGCTGAAATCGTACTCGTGATTTGAAATCACAAGTATGAGTTCAGACCAAAATTGCACGACACGAGGTTCAATTACCACTTTATTACATCCATTTTGAAAACGCCCAAATACAGGACTTGGTTAATTCAAATATTTTATCGATGCAGTGCTGAGCAGGTTTTTAAATAAAAAGCGGAACCGGAAATGCTTTTACATCTTGACGTCATGTATGATGCACGATCCTCGCAGTAGAGACCGCTATTTATGCAATAGCGAAAATCAGACCTGGAAAAATCAGGCCTGTACGGGATTCGAACCACTGACCTCTGCGATACTAGTGCAGCGCTCTACCAATTGAGCTAGCAAGCCAACTGGGAGCAGGCCGTTAATCAACTTAACGGCCTGCTCCCAGTTGGCTTGTTAGCTCAATTGGTAGAGCGCTGCACTAGTATCGCAGAGGTCAGTGGTTCGAATCCCGTACAGGCCTGATTTTTTTCAGGTCTGATTTTCGCTATTGCATAAATAGCGCTCTCTACTGCGAGGATCGTGCATCATACGTTTCTATAACCGCAGTTCAAAATATATGAACTTTCATATATTCATTGTATTTGACGTCATGTGTCAAAAACTCAGTCAAGCGTAATATGATGCGATTTGGAGCAAAAAAAGGTGCGATTCGCGAATAAACCGCACCAGTCAGATTACAGGGACCACCAGTGATTTAAAAATGGATGTAATAAAGATTAAAAAAAATCGCTTCTCAAATACAGCCTATTTTGTATGAGTCTTACGTTCCACGGTATCAGTCCAGTTATGTCAATAGTCATTTTGTTTCCTCTTGTTATTTTTCTTTGTTGGGTCAAAGGAGTGCTTGCCAGCTGGTTTTAAGTTTCGAAGTGATGAAGAGAGCAAGGGATCATGCCAAATATCAGGATGGGCGGTCCAATCACAAGTATGCATGATGCATTGTATGCCAATCAAAGCCTCCCCAAGTATATGACAGCCCATAATTTTGTAACTGTTCAACAGGAGGCGAATTAAGGATTCGGATGTGAAAACAAATGAACAATCATTGTGCACCACAGAAAGAAAGTTTGGGCTCTGTTTAAAAAGCGTTGTCGATGGACAGCACGTCCATTATAACGCAAGTTAATAAGGACGATGAGTCGGCAGAAGTGAGCCCCTACACACAAAACAAACGTGAGTATGCTTGAACGACTCCATATTGCTCACTTTGCTTCGATACGACCACGCAGTTACCGGCGCGAATTTTGCATCCTAAGCTTTTGTTTGTGCGGTCGGCTTAACTTCACCTACAGAGAATAGTCCTAGACCATCTTTTTTTTCGAGCTCTCTCACTTTTAATTACAACAGTCTCTCGTTGTGGTCAATGAAAATCGTTACTACAGCTTTTGATTTATAATTGAGTTAGTTGTTCGGTTGCGTATGACGTCCAATGTTTTGTTAACCTTGAGTCCACCATCTGAGCACGATTGTTCTCATTGATCAACTGTCTGTTTCTCTTCCTCTGCAGTCCCTTCATCAGTCTCCAAAAAGCCAAGGAATCGGAACATATTTTCCTCTTTTTTCTGCTGTTTTGGCGCCCAGTCTGCTGCTGCTACTGCTGCTGGAGGCCCATACAGAACTGCAGTCACCCACACAAATCACAACCATAACCACAACCACAATGAAAATTCGCTTAGTATCTCTACTGAAGAAAAAGAGCCCAAGGTTAGTGTTTCCAAATGGAGATCGATACTCTAATTTTGACGCAATTATCGTGCAGGTGTTCGCTTTGAGTTTTCCACGCAACGTTCTAATTTGAAAGCATCTCCGATTCCATTTCCGTTGGTGCTTGTGCACAAATGTCGTTCTTCGAGTAATGTAAGGGTATAAATTCGTATCTTCGAATCATTGCGTAACAGCAAAGTTTTTTTTCCTTTTATTCTGTCGCTAGCAAGACTTCTCTTTGCATAAGAGCTGTTTGGCGGATATATTCGTCGCATTTTGGTGTAAATTTAATATCTGAATTAATAAGATTCTCAAGGGCTCCGTCATGTTGACATTCCAACTTGTCTGTTCCATGGAAGGAACGTGCGTTTTTAACTTCAAAGGGATTCTCGGTGCGTTCTTTTCTACAGTGCGTCAGTTTTCCCTTCACCTAAAAAGTTATTTCAACGTCACTAGATACTAGAAGTAGGCGAAAGGAGACAAAAAATATCGGGAGCACTCTTAAAGTACACCAATATAACAGCACGATCATGGCCGTTGTCTTTCGGTATCCTTGTTTGTGTCTGACGTAAACTCTTAGAATGAATTTCTCCAGTATGGCACTTCTTTCGACATAATTGCGGAATCGGTTTCATAGGGGAAATAGTGCTTGATTATTCTTACAATGGATACGACGCACTCATTTTTCGGGGCTAGGAACAAAGAACATTCCGTAGTTTTCTGTTTGCATGAATTCCGCAAGATGGAAGATGATGCGTGCACGGAAAACGAACTCGATTTACGCAATTTTCAAAAAGTAAACAAATTAAAAATGTTTAGTGCCTTTCTGTGCTTTACTAAACACAGAAGTCTTCCTTTTACTCCAGATCGGATGGGATAAGTTAGTATAAGAACGTGAGACTATTTCCTGTTAAAGGAAATAGTTGAGCTTTTTACCCAGGAAAAAAAAAAAATGAAGGAAGACCTTTGTAAATTCTGTGTTAAATCAGGCCTCTTTTATGAAAACAAAGAAAAATCTTTGCTCGTTTATTATGCTGTTGTTTCATGTACATTTTGTTGTGACCAATATTTGATGAGAATGTGTGGTTGATAAACAGTTATTAATAGTATTATATAATTTTCAGTGTTGATTTAACTTGCACTTTGGAAAGTTCAGCTATTAATTTTTAACATCTAGAGGGGCCACTTAAGCATGAAAAGGTGTATTCATGGGACTGTTAAGGAGAACGATTTTTTCTTAAGACCTAAGATGTAAAATCTGAACAACCCTATCTATATTTGCTTTTTGTTGTTACGGCACAGGAACTTGTTTAAGATGTTATTGTTAGCCAACCATTTTTGCAAGAATCATTCTATTCTGCCCTTCATTTTTAGGTTGGAACATAGGATTTTATGTCAAGTTTCTTTGAAAACCTTGCAAGGTTCCCAAAATTTCAAGAAACCCAGAGGGAGTTATTTAAAACTGCTTAACTGCGTGTACGAGTGATATTTATGGACTTTGCACTATCATCTTTTTATGCTAAAACTGACATTTTCTATCTTTTGCGATTTGATTGATGTTTATACTCTCAAATGAGTTATTTTAAGAATTTTTTGTTTAATTTTTTACGTGTTTGAGTAGGTGTTTGTCATAGGAAGGTATGTTTAAATATTGACTCCCGTAAATGAATTTCTAATTCCCATACACCATCAAATTCAAAATGGTACAATTCATCTATCAGGACAAACTCAAGATGCTAATTATGAAAACCATGTTTATATTTACTTGAAGGGTTTGATAAAAAGTCCTAAAGTTTCATGTGATTGTATTAAAGATTGATCTCTCTTATTCAGTTATTTTCTTCTTTAGCCTTGTAAATATCTACTACCTGCTGTCAGACATCAGGATATGCACAAAAAATGCATTGTTATAGACCTTGATGAAACATTGGTCCACAGTTCATTTAAGGTAACATATTTATTAAATTTCTCAGCAGTTCAGATTTATCATTGAGAAATGAAGAAGCAGGAGAAGGTTAAATTTAACCAGGGGAATATTTTCAACATCTTGCTAAGAAATAGCATCTAAATTCAGGCAGAGAATTCTGCTAGTAGCTTGCCAGATAATTCTTCATTCTCTGATGCTTTGTTGACACCCTAGAAGTTGAAAATTATTAATTTTTTTAAAAATATCTTTTTTAATACTGGGCTTCATCAAGGAGATTAATGCCAAACTGAGAGATTGGAAATTTCAATTATTGATAGGCAAATCTGTGAATATTATATACTGGCTCTTGATGAAAAGAGTCTTAACTTGTAGCCTGCGTGGAATTAAAATGGAGCACTATTGTCCTTCTTGTTGTCAAAAAGGAATGACAAAAACTTTTCCAAGGAAAGTTGATATTAAACAGTTCATGGTTACCAAATCTCTAATGTAAATTTTATCATTGCTCATATCAGCCTGTCCATAATGCAGATTTCATAGTTCCTGTGGAGATTGATGGGACAGTTCATCAGGTTTGTGGAATCCTTTTTTTTCTTTCACAAATTTTTCAAAGTTGTGTCAGAACAAAGCAACTCATCCTGCGATGTTGCATAAAGGATCTCTTTCTTAACAAAGTTTTTTTTAAAGTTATGTAAATTTACGATGTGTTCACAGGTCTATGTGTTAAAGAGGCCTCACGTTGATGAGTTTCTTCGCAGAGTTGGGGAGTTGTTTGAATGCGTTCTATTCACTGCTAGCTTATCAAAGGTGAGACAAAAGATTGCTTATTGTTGTCTTTGTACTCAATCCATTTTACGCCCAGGATCTTAAATCAATTCTCCTCACTGTCTTTACACCCCAGGGCCTGAAATAAACAAAATTTCGTGATCCTCTTTTGGCACCTAAATGGCAAATAGATGGTTGTCAGAAGTAAATTTGTAGTCAACAATTTAAAAGCTGCATCTGTTTAAATAATATACTGTATAACTTATCTGATTTTGCAACAATGTTAAAAAAAAAAAAATAAGTAACTGCTTGAAATGTGCCGGCACTAAAATTGGGGATTGCAGTCATGTAGGCAGAATGAGTGTCGAAAGATGGAGGTGTTCAATGTCAACTTAAACAAAGTTTCCTTTTTTCTTTTGGCAAGACAGAAGTTAAACTAGACAATATGAGGTACTTTGGAACTTGATTAATTTAACTCTTGGTTTAAAACACAGAAAAATCTAGTCGCCAAAGTGGCAGCAACTAGATCAGATTTTTTACTTACCTGCAAGAAAATGTTAATCCCAAGAGTGCCTGTAGAGGTTGCCATCGTGAGCCCTGTATATCCTATTATTTTGAGCATGAAGAATTTGGTTTAAAATCAAGCAACATCATCCTATTCATATTTTTCTTTCTTCTCATCTTGCTGATGCTTGTTAAGAGAAATTCCTCTTTTGGTTAACTTGCATGAACGTCTAACTTTGAATAGCTTCCTAAGGTTGTTAGTCTCAAATTTCCTAAAAGTAAAACTTTAATTGCAAGGGTTGCTTACCAATGTATAACTGTTTGTTCATCTCCAAGAAGATAATATTATTTGTCCATGCCTCTCCGCTTGTCTGCTTGCTAGTCTACTGGTACTTACATTGTAAGGAGAAATGACATCCTGGTTGGTTCTGGAAGTTCAAGGGTTAACTCTGTTGTGTATTTTTTTAGTATGCTGACCCAGTTGCTGACTTGCTGGACAAGCATAAATCTTTTCGAGCCAGGCTCTTTAGAGAGTCTTGTGTGTTTCATAGAGGAAATTATGTGAAGGTAGGCCATTAGGAAATTCCACAGTTTGTTCTGGTTTGGTTCTTCATATTCGGGCTTGTTTTACAAGATTTTATAAAATTTGCTACCAGCAAGAGATCCTGAAGCTGATTTTCTAGCAAAAGAAGGCCTAATGCCCAAACTACAGCTTTATTTCAGCTTTAGAAATATGCCAATTCTATTTTGCAAAGACCAATATTTTGTGGATTGATTGTCTACACAGGATCTTAGTAAACTAGGAAGGGATTTAAAAAAGGTCCTTATTGTGGACAACTCACCAGCATCATACAGTTTCCATCCAGAGAATGCAGTAAGTGTTGGCATTCTTGACAAAGTTACTATTTATAACTTATATTTTGGTTAAAATAAAATCTAGAGTCAACTGTCCACACGCTAACGTCAGTATGCATATTCTCCATACTGTTCTCTGTACATTTCTCCAGGTGCCGACAAGGAGAATTTGTTTTACAGTCATGGGCTTCTTTAGTTGATGGTCAATTCCTTTATTCTCATAGATTATGACAGTATATTATACATACAAGGGTGATGTTAACTGCAGTTCAGATATATGAATTTCATATATTGTTGTGTTTGATTTATCATCTTACGGGTTTATGTCAGACTAATTTGATTGACCTGCTCTCAGTTGGTAGAGCGCTGCACCAGTATTGCAGAGGTCAGTTGTTCGAATCCCGGTACAGGCCTGAATTTTTTCAGGTCTGATTTTCACTATTGCTTAAATAGTGCTCTTTACTGTAAGGATCATGCACAAATAAGGGTGACATTGTAAAGAGAAATTAGATGCTAGTCACTATAAGTGGTGAAAGGGTTAAAAGAGTCCTCTGCTTTTCTACTGTGGCTTTACTAACCAGGCTACATACTAAAGAAAGGTGTTTGATCACTTTTAACGGGATATTCACAAAAGTGTTGTGTGGTATTGCAAAAGAATGATTGCTTTTGATAAAGGTTTTGTCATTTGTTTACGCTCAATGTATTATTGCTCTCCTCAGATTCCAGTTGCGTCATGGTTTGACGACTTTTCAGACATGGAGCTTTTAGAATTAATTCCCTTCCTTGAATCAATAAGTGAAGCTGATGATGTCTGTGCATATTTGAGAAATGCAAACATGAACATCCTAAAAGGAAGATGTAATTCCTTGGAACTCAACACCAGTAGCTGAATTTCAAGTACACCTGAGATTTGTAATTAAAGCATTTTACAATTTTTTTCTGTAACATATCCACATATGAAAGTTCTGAAATTCAATATTTTATCAAAAAATTAAGTGACACAGATCAATGTTATTCTCCTTACCTCTCCTGATTTGGGCAGAAGTCATTTAGTTTACCTTGTTCACAAAATTTTAGGTACCCTTGTTTGTCTCATAAAAATTTGGATCATTTTTATCATTCCATTTGCAAAGGTATTTGGTCTTTTAATTTAAAAGTGACCAGTCTGAAAGGCTTAACCATACCAACTTCTAACCCTTTAACTCCGGAGATCTGATTGTGAATTCTCCTTTCTTTTCTCTTCAAGTTTCCTTATACAATTGTTGGGGTAATTTGGTGTTTGATCAAGATATCAACTTCTGTATAAATTTGAGTATTCTCATCACCTGATTGCAGGATAATGTATGGGTATTTTAGGGAGAAATAACTTGTTAATCACTTCTGGGAGTTAAAGAGTTAACTACAGTATATATATATATATATATAGATCACAATACTCTAAGAACCTATGACACATTTTTGTTTGAATTTTGGTTATTTTGTATTCAATTTTGAACCAAGACATGAATTTTGTTTGTTAAATGAAGTGTACATAGAACATACAGCTTTTTCGCTTTTAAAAATTGAACAGATTGTTATTCAAATCTTCAAACGTATTTTAAACACTACAATATTTTTGCTTGCTTGATAATATATATAAGCATATTGTTGGTAATGGTAAAGTGCTAGTTTTCAAAGTTAGGGGTTCTAGTCTATTCTCCAAATATAGAAAATGTCTGTCTGCACATGAAGATATAATGTATGATATGATTGCTAGTTTGATGTGAAACAAGTTTGTATGTTTTAGCACTAATTTTTATATGTAGGTTTATATAAAAACTTCTTTTACATCTAATTTTGTACCAATTGAAATTCATGCTAAATACAGTAATTTTTTTTTATCATGGTATACCTTTCTCAGGGATCATTAGTACTTATAACATTTCTAGTTGAAGAAACTCTCAAAGGGGTGTGGGAAGTGTGAAATTTTGTATTGTAGGGCAAAATTTAAGCAAAGAAAATCTTTACATATATTATCCTCTAGTTTTTTTTTTTACCCAATTCTGGCCTATTTTTGAAGATAATTAGATAAAATTGTGGTGAGAGAGAAAACCATAGCTTCTCAGTGTTAAGTCAAGGTCTATCATTACCAAGTATAGATGGTGATCTTTTGCTACAATGTTACAAGTCTTTGTCAGGCCACTGGGCCTAATGAAGACTAGTTGCATAGCAGCTCAAGAGTTGCAATCTTCAGGATGTTATTGTCCAATTTTTTTCTGAAGTTTTCCATCGCATCCTCTTGGGCTGTTATGTCTTGTCAAACATAGAATACCAAGAGTAGAGTGATCTTTGCCTACGTTCTGCATTGAAACTAATTTTGATAACAGAATACTGTGATTGTGTAACAAGGTGATATACAGCAAAATATATATTTTTTTGTTTGCCAATGGCCTACTGCAAGTTTTCTGTTGTTAAAATTTTGATGGCCAGTTTAACTAATCAAGTAATGTCAAGTGTTAAGCAGGTGGTTAGGCTTAACCACAATAGGTTCAACCTCGTTCCCAGGAGGTGGGAAGATGAGAGACCCTGGGAATGAGGTTGCAATAGGTTATGTCGCTGCAACAAAAGAGGGGGGGGGGGAGAGGGGTTGGTCCCTTTTATGGGCTTGCATCCAGTTCAAGTGGTTATTGTCTACCCCTAGCCTGTGTACAACCACCCTTAATGCATGGAGAACAGCTTGTGTTTGCTTTATATGACACAAAGATGAAAATAACATCAACTAAAAGGGAATTTTTTGTGTCAAATATCTGTTCTTATGTAACAAATGTTACAAAAAATGATTGCACATCAGGTATTAGTAGTTCTCTTCAGCAAGAAAACAAGTTATTTTATTCAACACTTGTTTTCTTCATGTCGACATTCAATATGCAACTTCACAGACTCTTGGACTAGAATAACAACATTTTTTTCACTTGAGCAACACTTTACTTGACTTGGAGGCTAACGATTGTGAGATCATGTTCAGCTATGCAACAGAGCCATAGAGGAGACAGGCAAAGTTTACAAAGCAAGGTACATGTATGATACACAGGCAAGGTTTAGTTATCAGCGTCTTTGCCATTTTTTGTTTCTGCTACCACTGCATCAGATGCTTTAGTTGAAGCCTGCACAGAGAATAAACAACAAAAACAATCTGAAAATGCATTAAAAAAAAAAAGATGGATGAAATGTGATTAACAAAGAACTGTTTGGTGGATTTTTCAGTACATGATGTCATTGTGTATGAGAGCAATGTACATGGTTTGCTCACCTTCTTTTTCTTTTTCTTTTGAGTTTTCCTACTTGCTGATGTAGCAAGTATGTCCTGGAAAATAAAATAGAAAACATGACAAAAAAGTTGAATCCAGAATGTTTTTTTTTTCTTTCGACATTCAAGAAATTCACACCAGACAAACTTCAAAAATACAAAATGAATTGTTCCTAATGATATTAGATTGGAGAACTTGGTATTGGATCAACTAATCCCCCTTTTTAAAATTCCCATTACTTGCCTGCTTGATTTAGTATTGATATTGTAAAGAGACATTTTGTCTTAGTCCCTTGTGGGAGTACATTTCAACATGATTTTTCAAACCACCAGTGATCAAAGTGGCTCAAACAAACAACAACTAAAGATGATCTAGACAACCATGATCCCCAAAACGAGGACAAGTTTTCCCGGAAGCACAGTTTCAACAGTGATCACAAGGTTGTCCTGACCATCTTTAAAAGTGACATGACTGGAATGATGGCTAGTCTCTCATATACTGGGTTCTGAAATAACTAATAATTGACAGATAGATGTACCAGAGGGGTAAAGTCAGTGAGTACAAAGGACCAGTGGGTACAGCTGACCAGTGAGTACAGAGGACCAGTGGGTACAGCTGACCAGTGAGTACAGAGGACCAGTGGGTACAGCTGACAAGTGAGTACAGATGACCAGTGGGTACAGATGACCAGTGGGTACAGCTGACCAGTGAGTAGAGAGGACCAGTGGGTACAGCTGACCAGTGAGTACAGAGGACCAGTGGGTACAGCTGACCAGTGAGTACAGAGGACCAGTGGGTACAGCTGACCAGTGAGTACAGAGGACCAGTGGGTACAGCTGACCAGTGAGTACAGAGGACCAGTGGGTACAGCTGACCAGTGAGTACAGAGGACCAGTGGGTACAGCTGACCAGTGAGTACAGAGGACCAGTGGGTACAGCTGACCAGTGAGTACAGAGGACCAGTGGGTACAGCTGACAAGTGAGTACAGATGACCAGTGGGTACAGATGACCAGTGGGTACAGCTGACCAGTGAGTAGAGAGGACCAGTGGGTACAGCTGACCAGTGAGTAGAAAGGACCAGTGGGTACAGCTGGCCAGTGAGTACAGAGGAACAGTGGGTACAGCTGACCAGTGAGTACAGACGACCAGTGGGTACAGCTGACCAGTGAGTACAGAGGACCAGAGAAACAGTAGGAATAGAGGACTGGTGGGAACAGAGTACAGAGGACCAGAGGGCCAAAGGACTTGAGGATAAGTGGGTGCAGAAGACCAGAGGAACAGTAGGAACAGAGGACCGGTGGGTACAAAGGACCAGAGGACCAGTGGGTGAGTGGAACAGTGGGAACAGAGGAC